CGGTGTAACCATTTATAGTGACACTATTTTTTTTTATTATTTCTTTCCTTTTTTAATATATTTTGGAAAACAAATTGAGAGCTCAAATAAATGAGAAAATTGTTTTTGGAAATTAAATGACGTCACATGGAGCGTATGAATTTAGAGACGCATACATTTGGTCAGACAAATCGACAAAGATGTATGTAACCAAACTCATCAAGTCAATAATAAGCTTCTACATTTATATATAATACTAATAAGAGAAGATGATCAAAAATAATCGACAAAAGTCAACAAAACATGTTTCGATTTTTAGCATCCTAAGGGAGAAACAAATCCTACTTACTACGTTTTCATTTCACGTACGTATGATCCCAGCGTTTGGTAATACCGTCACGAAACGCACATTGCAAAACGCTAATCCTCTCTTGGAGAATTCTTTCTTTTACACCATCAATCACTTTCTCTTCTGCATCCATTATCGATTCCAATTGGTCCATAAACTTCAACTTGCTCTTCAGTTTCTTCAGCTGAAATCATTAAGCGATACGGTCAAGACACAAAACAGAGTGGAAGAGGCAAAAGGAAAAGGTTTTTAATGTTAGAACGAACAAACCTGTTGGTCTATTACAGTCGCAGCTAAAAGTTCCATCTCTTTTTCTTCTTGATCAGCCAGTATTTTCGCGTAAGCAGCCGCTGCTCCTAGAGCTGTTCCCACAGACGCTCTTATTCTTAAAGCTACGGGTAGATCCTGATGCTCATCTGCAAAATTATCTAAAGTCTTGAGCTTCTAAACCCGATAATGCGAATAGGAGCATGATAGGAGGAGTTACCTTTGTCTTCTTGCTGTTCCTCCATATCTGTATCTTTGTCTCCATCATCTCTGTGAAAAACCGGCACAGCAAAAAATTTAGATTAGACTTGACAACAACATGAGAAGCAAAGCCAAAAGCAAATTGAGGAGTTGGAGAATTGAACCTGTCAACTGCGGAATTTGTGTAATCACCGTTTTCAAAAATCTCTTTTGGACATGAGGCTTCATCACAAAGAGCTGCGATTGCAGCTTTTGCAGCAGCGGTTGCGACAGATGGACCAACTTTACTTGCCATGGCAGCAACCTGTAGGGGCAATATGTAAAACTCTCTCTTATGAGACACATATGGAAGATATTGAACACACGAGGCACATTGTTTACCAAATACTCACCTGTTTCATAAGTGAACTATCACCGTCTGATAGTAGCTCAACACATTTCCTTTTTGCTGGAGGCTCATCTTCCTTCACGCGATCTTCCGTATCTGTTTCCTCGGGTACTTGACCGTCAGTTTTCATCTGTTCTGCAGGATGGGATGGAGAATGGTGTCCTCCGTTTCCATCCTCGGTGGGGATAGCGGAAGTGAGTCTTCCAGAAGCAGAACCCATCAGAAACTCTCCAAACGGGAGCTCAATGAGCTTTGAAATGCAATCAAATCTGCTCTTTGTAGAAACACTTTGTGCAATGAGTTCCCAATCATCCCCATGTTTCAGCACAGATTCAAGCAAGAGGAGGATCTCTTCCTCGGTCCACACAGCTGCAGCAGAATTCCCAATCAACTTGAAATCATCTGCGGAGTTGTTCTCCCCATAGCTTCCATTCTTGAAACACTTTTCGCATATCTTGACAATACTCTGTCAACAACATATGTTAGGAAAACAGACCAGAGAAGATGAAACATCTAAAACATAACGAAGAAAAATTACCTTCTTGTGTTCATAGAAAGCAGAATCAGAACAACGTTCTCCACAATGCCCACAAACCAATGCAGCACCAGGTTTCTTAAAATCACTGAAAACATCTGAATAAGAAGTCAGCGGCGCTAATTTGATGCCGGTCTCAGCTCCTTCCTCAACAAGGGGCGGTGCAGCGATAGGCCTCAAAGAATTCGGGGTTGCAGTAACTCGAATCCCAGCGGGATTCCCTTGTTCGATCTTCACATTATGCTTCCCTTCACTCTCCACCAACAACACATCATCAGTTTTCTTGAGGGAAGAGCTGAAATTGATCAATCCCCATTTTTCGAGGAAGATAAACACTTTTTGAAGCAAATTGACATCACCAACTAGATACTTGCGGATACTGGTGAACGTAAGCCTCCTAGTAGTGTCTTCCCTGTACTTGTTGATAATGAAATCTCTGTACTCCTTGTATACTTTAGGGGTTCTAGTGATTGAGCTCTCACTGAAGAACTCCTCAAATTCACGTCTTTCGATCTCGTGAATATCATCCCATAAGAACCAACCTATAAACAACACAAATCCCCAAATCAATTTCGACGGAGAACGAAAAGGGAAACCCTAGAAATCAATCAAACACCTAAGAGAAGAAATTTGTACGCAGTACGGACTAAACAGGAGAAACCCTAGAAAGCAGAAACCGAAAAAGATGATGTTCGAAGCTTAGCGAGACTAAGCGAAGAGAAACCTAAGCTAGAGTTGAAGGCAATGGAGAGAAAGAGACATTACTGGATCGAGCAGGGATAGTGTAGAGCTCCATTTCTGCTTCTTTGCGGCTTGAATCAATGGCTTCCATGTCGTTACGTTACAGATCGATTCCCTCCAAATCTTATTTTGGAGGATTCTCACATGAATCTATTGCAAATCCTCAATGTCTAAAGGACGATAAATAAAGTATTGGGTAAATTGCGAAATAGTTCGAAAGTTGAAGGAACGTCAGTAATATAGAAGAAATTCAATCTAAAACAGGCCCAAAGTGTAAAAGCCCATAACCATTTAACAATCACCTAATAGCCCTCTTACTATCTACTTTTTCTATCAAACCCACGTATTTTATTGTTTGTTATTGCCAAAGAGACACTGTAGCTCCTAATTTCGCCAAAATTTCAGTTACGTGATTTTACAATGTTGATTATAAATTTATAATTTTCTATCAAAGTTTGATTGTCTAAGTAGTTGACAGATGAAATAGAGCTTGAGGAACACAAAAATTGTCATGAAGAAAGTGAAAACATCATCCATGGAGAAGAAGAGTTTAACTAAAAAGGGTACTTGAAGAAACAGCTAAACAAAAAGGCTCTATCAATCCAAGCAGATTACTTTTGATTAAACACAAACAAAAAGATCCTTCTTAGGTCATTCTCTGGGCAGCCTCCTTTGCAAGAACTCTTTCCTTGGCCTTTGTCTTAGCCTGAGATTTGGATCCCATGATACCTCCTCCCCATTTCTTCCTGTACTCGTCGAACTTGTCGTTGAAGTTAGCCTATACACCAGAAACAGAATNAAGTTAGAGAATCNTCCTGCAATACACCCACTCTATTGTCAAAGAAAAGAGTATTTTATTACCTTGATGGCCTCAAGGATTTTGCTGAACTCTGGCTTGTCCTCGTTCTTNATAGTGGTCAAACACAAGCAAGCAGCAGTCTTTTGGTGAACAATCTGGAATGTAAGAAACAGAAGTATTATCACTGATTTCACTAGAGAGAGGGCCGTGATCAAAACGTAAGAGACTGAGATGGACATATAGTGCATACCGCTCCAAGACGAGATTTCCCCTTGACAATGCAATAAGGCACTTCCATCTTCCTACACAGAGCAGGCAACCAGACAACCAACTCAATTGGGTCGACATCATGAGCGATGACAACAAGTTGTGCCTTGTTCTGCTCGATGAGGTAAGTCACATGGTTGAGGCCATACTTCACAACAATAGGCTTCTTAGATTCAGAGGGCTTTCCCTCAGCCTCAGCTTGAGCCTTCTTGACAAGACGCTCCTTCTTGGCAGGTTTGTCCTCTGGCCTATACTTGAGAAGGATCTTGAAGAGGTTGGTTGCTGCAGTTATTAAGACATGATACGATTAGGCACTGAATTAAGGAAGCAATTCGACAATGGCAATGGAAACAACTACAAAACAAACCAATCATTAGAAGAAGGCAATGTAAGACTGACCAAGGTTCTTGTCAAGAGTCTTGGTGAACTGGTTCAGAGCTGGAGGGACCTTCAACCTCTGCTTAAGGATCCTCTTCTGCCTTTGAAGACGGATTGCCTTTGGCCATTTGATGTAACGTGTAAGGTCCTTCTTTGGAGGCAAAGCTCCCCCAATACCAAATTGCTTCGGCCTCCTCTCGAATAGTGGGTTCGTTACTTTCTCCTGCAAAATCAGAACACAAACTTGANAACAAACAGAGGATGAAGAGAAGAAGACCAGAAGTTGGCAAATCAAANCAAAGATCATACCGCAGTCTTCTTCTTGGCAGCTAACTTCACTCCTTTCTTCGGGGCCTATAACCAAATTGCAGAGTAATTAAGTGACCAGGTGAAACGAGATGAGTAAGCCATTGCTCTCTACGCAAGTTTCTGGATTCATTCAATAGCTCTCTTCTACCAAAAAATGACAAACCCTAAATCCTAAGCAGATCAATAATGCTCATATGCGTCTCTATCGCTAATTCAAAATGCATCCAAAAATTCCACTATGAAACAAACAAGAATAAGATCCGAATCAAACGAAATTAAGAGAACCACAGATACGAAAAGAGCGAAGAAGGGAGATATACCATTGTCGTCCTCCTAAGCTCCAACTCCAAATGGTCTCTGCAAAAAGCTCGGCTAAGTGGAAGAAGAAATCGATAACTAGGGTTTTGCCTTACAATTGATAGGGCTTAATTACAAAGCTACCCTTGTAACGAAAAAAATGATTTATCCTATCGGATTTAAATGGGCCAACATTAAAGTTAAAAGGCCTAGTAGCTTCATAGGCCTTATTTAAGTGTACTGTACCGCCTTGGTATTTTCGAGTCGTCGTTCTTCTTGTTCCTGTGGAGATCTCAGGAAAACGAAAGCGAGATTTATCAGGTAAAACCCTAATTTCTTCGATCTGCCTTGTGACTAAATCCGTTGTTGTGCTGCTCTGCATCTCTTTCGTATTCTTTGACTCTGATAGGCTCAACGAATCCGGTGAAGTTTGTGGAGACGAGCTCGCGACAAGTAAAACATGAGGTATCTCTCGATGATTCTAAGCTTCGTCTCCGTTTTATCGTGCTTAATTTGACATTTTCTCACACTGATTTTCTATTTTTTCTCACAGTCGGCCAATGGAAGAAGATACTAATGTAAGTGTTATCTTTCTCTCGTTACTGCTTTTTCGATTTGTTATATAAGGCTTCGTCTCTGTCACAAACCCTAGTTTTATCGAGTGATTCCTTCAACTGTTCAGCAGTACTAAATTACTACAGATTCTCACTGGATTTGATAGTTGCAAGCTCTCCGACGTTTTGCGTTTTATGGGTTCTTTCTGGTGATTGACTTGTGTGTCTTTTGTTGCCTAGTCATTTGAATGTTGCTGGTGTTCTTTATAACTCGATCTTGCACTGGATTCCTTCTTGTTTGGTACTCGTAATCTTAGAATTTCCCTGCTAGATGTGTATTCTCCTTTGATGTTGCTCCTAGTCATGATGCTTGATACTGTTCTTAGCAGGGAAAGACTGAGGAGGAGGAATTCAACACCGGGCCTCTCTCTGTTCTGATGATGAGCGTCAAGAACAACACTCAGGTATAAAGAAATCTCTAGGAGATGTTGTGATGATCCCCTTTATGAGCATGAAGATAATGTTATGTGGTTAAAAATGTATGCTTGTTAACAAGCTCAAGTTTGTATACAGGTGTTAATCAATTGCCGGAACAACAGGAAACTTCTTGGGCGAGTGAGGGCATTTGACAGACACTGCAACATGGTTCTTGAAAATGTCAGAGAAATGTGGACTGAGGTAAACAGAATTCTCCTGAAATCAGTCTGTATATGTAGTAGTACTGTTGTGTCGATACGTTCTATAGACTAAAGACCGCACCTTCTCTAATGAGTAACTGACCTTTTTTGGTTTAGGTTCCGAAAACAGGAAAAGGCAAGAAGAAAGCACTTCCGGTCAATAGAGATCGGTTCATAAGCAAGATGTTTCTCCGTGGAGACTCGGTTATTATAGTCCTCAGGAATCCAAAGT